TCCTTACATACACGATGCTTGATATTATCAACAAAGAAATTGTAAAAATAAGTTTTCTCCTTGAATTGCTTACTTTATTGGTTCAAGATCTTTTTTTATCTAATCGTTCAGTAGTTTTACTAAAAAAGTGTTGCTTTTCAATCTGAGACATTCCCCACAGTCCATTAAATAATATTTTTCTCTCGTCTTCTGAAATCTTCTCAAAACACTTAAACTTGCAACAATTTTTACAATCTTTTTTATTTTTAATACTTCTTGGTTGAATAACTTTGCCTCTAACATTTATATATTCCTTTCCTGATTGTCTAAGTCGCTTTCTTTTTGACTGTTTCCAGTTATAACAGTTTGCTTTACGTTTTCTTGTTTTCCCACCATGTGGAGGTAATCGCAGTTGATCAGAAATTAAAGGAGGCGTTGAAACATAGGGTGTAACCATGATATTAGCTTGTTGTGGGTAATCTGAAAAAATTAAACAAAAAAAAGGTTATGCAATGCAAAATAATTTTATGTTTGAAGATATATTATTTTAAGAAGAGACAAATTTTTTCCATATATGAAACGATTCATTTGAGTCTTTATTTATTTAGTATATAAAACGTGTTGTATATACTAAATAAACAAAGACGTACGGAATACGTGAGGATATTTAATATACTGTTGTATATGTCACATACACATACAATATATACATAAATAAATAAAAAATATACACACATATAGTATATGTGTATCACGGATTATATAACCAATTCTGTTGTATATTTGACATATATGTATGTATATGTATATATATGGTTATATATATACAATAGTGTATATATATATATATAACCATATATATTATATGATATATATACACTGTATGTCACATATACAACAGAATACGCCTGCTTTTAATTAGATGATGATAAATTTCTTACTAAAATAATATGTAGAATTATGAATAATAACTAAAAAAACCCGATTGACACTAGAATATATAAGAAAATACCTATATTTTTGTTTATTACTCTAAGATATACACTATTTTCATCCGCCATTTTAAAATTAAATTAGAGGAAATAAACACGAACTGATTACTTAATGTGAATTATACGCAATTTTATTGGTTGTTGGAAATATAACAAAATAACATTAAAAACTGTTGATATTTTGCAAATAGAACAATCGGATACACCTGATTTGACACTATTAAAAAAAAAAAATTAATTTCAAAAGTAATTCAGCTAAAAAGAAAAATTAACAATATAAAAGAAATTGGTATTAACTCATTTTTCTCAAATTTGGAGATAGAACAAAATAATTCTAACCTGACGATTTGGCTGCATAGAGGCTGCACTTAGAAGATTAACTTCTAGATTATCTAATTTATCTAAAAGTCTCTGTGAATTGTTACCGTCCAAACCTAATCCATGGTAACCTCTAAACATAATATAGTCTGATTTAAGCCATGTGTCAAAATCAGGCCACAAAGTAATGAATACTTTTACAAACATAGAAGTAATACCAATGAAATGGTGTAACTCTGGAGGAGGGATAAGATGTTCCAATAATGTTTCTAAAAGTTCATCAAGATATACAATTCGAGGAGAAATACAGTTTTTAAATTCCTTCATATGATTATTTTTGCATCCATCTGCAACAAACTTATTGTAATTAATATCAATTGAACCTAAAGTTCTTTTTTCTCCACTCTCAAGAATACTTTCTTCTTCACACCAGAGACAAGCATATTTACTTCTGTGGCTGCTTAAACCTAGATACCTAAATAAAGAGTTACCACATTTTAGATCAAATGCTATTGAATACTTTACATCATTCAGCGCCAGTTATTTCAATAATTTTTTTAATTATAGCATATTTTTTTAATATAAAACACCAGATGTGGTCATTGCAACTCTAAAACTTCTTTTTGTTTATTGATTAATACTTTTGGTGCATTTGGCTACATGAGTTTTATTGAAATTTCCAACTATAGTTGCTGTTTTCTGTATCACTATATCTACATTTATCCTATCACTTCGATTAAATAATACTAGAAATAGAAAGTAATGGAAAAAAAAAAGAAAAAAGAAATAAAACAAGACATAGTAAAATACTTGTTTAAACTTTTTAAAGAAAACCAAAATCAATCAACAAACAATGCAGCTGAAGAAATTGTATCTAATTTGCATGAACTAAAATTTGAATGTAGCATAGCAAAAAAAAAAATGTAAATGGACATGTGTACATCCAGATCCAGCAGTAAATAATCTGTAAAATTTTTAGATAATACTTTTATTAATAAAAATAATAGTTATGCTAATTACGATCAGTACAATGTTACAAATGACTGCTACATATTTATGAACACTAACATATGAGATGGAATAGTGGCTGGCATTGTTTGCTATCAAAAAGTTCTTGAAATGTAACTTTTAAATTATAAATTTTTATGATGTTCAAAACAATATGGCGTATAAAACTGTCTCCTAATTTTATTCATAAGTTTATTCTACCAAAATTGTAAACAAACCAGCAGCAATGAATTTTGAAATGAAAAAACAAAGAAATTATAGCAGTTACATAGTTAAAGCTAGCATGAATGTCGCAGCGAAGAAGCTCTGAAAATAAGTTTATATTCTGAAAATAAAACTATAATAAGAACACAATAGTTAATGAGGATATTTCTTATGATGGATAATAGTTATATATATTTTTTTATTTTTATATATATTTAGTTTTTATATATACTTGATATTTATTTACTAGTAATAACTATTGGCATAAAATTGATAGAAGTTTTTATTTTAAACTAAATTACAAATCAAAAGTGAGACTTTTTTTTTTTAATGAAATCTAACTTTAAAAGTATTAATGCCTGGTAATAAAACCTCTTACTGAGTCGTCCTCTTTACGTCTTCTTGGGTTATCGCTTACTACTGACCTTTCATGGAAACCATATATACAATCGATTGCTAAATTAGCTTCTGCTAAGGTTGCTTCTCTTTATCGTGCTCGCCATTTCCTTACTTCTGATTCCATTCTCTACCTCTACAAATCTCTTATTCGTCCCTGTATGAAATACTGTTGTCATATTTGGGCTGGTTCTTCTAACGATTCACTTTCTCTTCTTGACAAGGTCCAAAAACGCATTGTAAATGTTGTTGGACCTGGACTATCTGCTAAGCTTGAACCTCTTTCCCATCGTCGTAAAGTTGCATCTCTTTCTCTTTTCTACACATACTATCATGGTCACTGCTCAAAGGAGTTATCATCTCTAGTTCCATCAACTAAAATTCATTCTCGTTTTACTCGTCATTCAGCTAAGTCTCATTCGTTTACTGTATCTGTCCCAGCATGCTCTAAAAACTTTTATTCATCTAGTTTTTTTCCCCGCACTTCAATCCTTTAGAACTCTCTCCCATCTTCATGTTTTCCTGACTCCTACAACCTTCAACTTTTCAAGTCTTCTGTCAACCGTTTCCTTGCTCTATAACTCTGTTCTTTTTTTTCCTAGTAACTCCCAATTTAATAGTGGTTGCTTGCAGCCTTGTTGGGAGTGAATGCAAATAAAAAAAAAAAAAAAAAAAAAAAAACCTGTCTTTTAAAACAATTTTTTAAAATAATTTTTCTATTTTTACTCCACAACACTTTTAATATAAGTTCATATTTGTCAATAGGCTTTTTACGTGGGTTTTTATTATTTGTTTGAAAAATTTTATGCTTTTTTTTTGTTTAAATGTGTTTTTCTCAGATCTCTAAAATTCATACTTTGCGGTGAATATCTCAAAATCTTCTTAATCAATTTCCATGAAATTTTCAGAAGTTGTTCCTTTTGTTGTTATGGATGTCCCTTACCGCATTTATGACAATACAAAAATCCAATTCGAAGATATTAAAGCCCAAATATGGCCAAAAATGTTATTTTTTGATCGTCAAGTGTTTTTCTTATAAAAAAAAATTTGGCACAGGATCTTCTTTATTGTATTAAAAGTAAATTTAAAAAATTTCAAGTTAACAGCTTCAATAGTTTTTGAGATAATCACCCCAATGAAATGATGATATTTATGGGTTTCTGGGACCAAATTTCTGAAACCAAAAAAAAATTTTTTTTTTTATTTTTGTCATTCAAGAGGAAATTTTAGTCAATTTAGATGTAAACAATATCTAAAATGTAATTTTTGAAGGATTTGATTTAATTAGTGGTCTACCACCTTAAAACTTGATTCGCTGACTACTGGATTATTTAATTGTAGCCATGGAATTGGAATTATAACAATGCCTTAATTTCAAAAATGATAAAAAAAGATTTTTACAAACTTTTCTTTTCTAAAAAGTTTTATTATAAAATTTATCTTTAAAAAAACAAAAAAAATTTCTATTAACTAACTATTGAAAAAAAAAATTAATTAAAAAGAACAGAGAAAGTTCCATGCTGTAAATTGTTTTTTAATAAAAAAGTTTAAAAAAAAAAAATTAATTAAAAAGAACAGAGAAAGTTACCATGCTGTAAAATGTTTTTAAAAAAACATGAGATGTTTTTTTAAAATTTTTTATAAACACTTGACCTTTATTTGAAATCTATTGTTATCACATTTTTAAGCAATGATATCAATCCTGATAAAAACCAGATCATTTTATAACGAAATGTTTTTTGATCTCTCTTAAAAGTTTATCTAATGCTTCTTCATCATCAGAATCCCTCTATTGTTGTACCTCTTACAACTAGCTTAAAGCTGACTAGGACTTTTTTCGTGATTATTTTTTGTGATGGCCCTTAAACCAAACAATTCTCCAAAAGATAGACGTCAGTTTTACTTGTGTTAAAAACCATTGTAAAAAGTTTTTGTTTAACTTGAAGGCGCCTTCTATTCTTAGGTCATAAAATCTTGTATTTCTTCTCAAACGTTAATCTCTAGAGACTTGATGAGAATCTTTAACAGTGTCTATAATAAGGGTAAATCTGTTATTCCTTCTCTCTTGTATGATTCAGATTTTGTTCCTTCATCTAAAGACAAAGTTGAATTGTTTGATAATAAATTTCATCAATCTTGATTCCATTATTCACATTCTAAATGAGATAGCCGACAAACAGGTTGATCCATTCCTTGGCATTCGTATCACTTCAAATTCTGTTTCTACATTGATTTCCTGCTTAGACTCTTTTTACTGCTTGTGGTGCGGACAACATACCTGTTATAGTCTTGCAGAAATGTTTCCCTCTGTTGTCGTCAATTCTTTCAAAACCTTTTAACAAAATCCTAATTGAGTCTTTTTTTCGGATTACTGGAAAGCAATCTGACTCATCTAACCACCATCCTATTAGTCTTTTTTCTATCGTAAGCAAAGTTATTGAGTTTTAAATTGACAAACAATAATCTGTTAGTTATCTTGATTTTTTAAACTTACTTTTTGATCATCAATATAGGTTTCGAGTTTCTAGTTCTACTGCTGATTTGTTAAAAGTAATAGCTATTAGGTTTTATTGTGCATAGTGATAGAGACAATGTGGTTAAGGCGCCATTTCTAAATCCTTTTAATAAAATTTGGCATACTGGTCTCCTCCACAAGTTGTTTTCAAACAGTCTATCAGGTAAGTGTTTTACTAAGCGATAAAACATTTCTTATTCATCTGATAATTTTAATACGCTAATTTAATAGTAGTAATAGTCGACTTACGTCATTTTCTAGGCTTTACTATTTTAAAGTAGTTTCTAGACTTTTCTATACGCGGGTTTGTTTTTTTAAATTAATTTCTAACAACCCGTATTACGGGTTGCTTACTGCTAGTTTATTTTATTTCCTCAAACATTTGAATTTGCATGTTTTATCTTGATTTCTTGTTTATGTAACTTGCAATCATTTAAGTCGTCTGTATAGGCGGATCCATATAGGGGCAAGAAACATTTGGGACAATCGTCTTTCCTTAGATATTTTAAAAAGAGTTTGTTTTTTATAATTTTTAATTGAGCAATTATTTAAAAACGGAACTAAATTAGAAAAGCTGTTTAAATGTGATAAAAATTTTTTAATGAGTTTGTGTTATGCAAAAAACAAATTGGTATATAACATAGTTTCATAGTTACCAAGATTAACACAATGAAAGACTTATATTTTAAAGAAAATTAACTAAAAATCTGAAAACCTCTTTTGCTTCCTTCTTTATTAAATAGTTTAAGTCAACCAAGCCCCCCCCCCCTTCCCCATCAT